GGGGGGGGGAGAGATTTGGTTGGGGCTTGGAGCAAGGTTGGATTCGGAACAGGGAGGGTCATGGAGATCGGTTGGACCCATGGGCTGTGAGGGTGGAGAAGTCGAACAAGTGGCCTGATTTCGCAATACTCTTATATGGGAGACTGTAAGTCGACAGGTGAGGGGACTGTGACATCGGATTGATCAAAGGCAGGTGTTTTGCAGGAAAGAGTGGAGTGGGGAGATCAAGCTAGGCGTGTGTTGATCGGGTGCCTCGAGATTTATACGTCGTTGCCTCGAGATATGTGCCAATATCCTCTCATGACATCAATTGAATGGATTTATAGGCATTTTTTGTAATTGACGACGCTTTGAACGCAATAACAAAGTTCGTTTTGCAATCGAACGTTGTTTGATTTGATCGCGAGGGGCTCCTATTTAAGCGAATTCAATGCTCTGATCGCAATGACGCCGTCTGTTTCGCAGTCCTAGGTCATTTGATTCTTTAAGTGACACATCATGCGCCAATTTTACCTCATTTCATATGTTTACGTGCATAGGGGTCAACAAGGTGTGGAAATTCTTAGGAGATAAAAAAATTTCTTGGCTTACTAAACTTTTTAATATTATTTTGAAGACTAAAACGATGTCAGATGAGTGAAAAATGAGTATGTTGATTCTTATTTTTAAGAATAAAGCAGATGCATAAGATTGTACAAATTATAGAGGAATTAAGTTAATGTGTCATAATACTTTAAAACTATGGGAGAGGGTTATGGAGAATAGGTTGCGGCGTGATACTAATGTTTCTCAAAATTAATTTGGATTCATGCCAAGTAGGTCTCCTATGGAAGCTATACATTTATTGAGAGATTTGATGGAGAAGTATAGAGAGAATAAGAAGGATCTACATATGATATTTGATGATTTAGAGAAAGCTTATGATAAAGTTCCAAGAGAAGTACTATGGAGAGTTCGAGAAAAGAAAAAGCGGTAATAATGTTTATATTTAAGTTATTAATGATATGTATGCATAAGCTGTTACTTGTGTTCAAACAAAATGTAGTTTGACCAAGTATTATCCTATTTCAATTGGATTACATCAAGGATCAACCTTAAGCCCATATCTTTTTGCTTTACTCATGGATGTTCTCATTAGACATATGCAAAATGTTGTACCCTGGTGTATATTTTTTGCTAATTTTGTTCTTCTTGTTGATAAGACTATAGAGTGAGTTGAAGGTAAACTTGAATTATGGAGGTCAACCTTAGAGTCTAAAGGCTCTCATTTGAGTAGATCTAAACTGAATATATGGAGTGTATTTTAGTAATAATATATCTAGTGGGGGGATTGTGACTTTGGGTGATCAAATCATTAATAAGAGTACACATTTTCGATATCTTGAGTCTATTGTTCAGAGTGAAGGTGAAATAGATTGGGATATTTTTAGTAGAATTCAAGTTGGATGGTTGAAGTGGAAGAATGCATCAGCCTTGTTGTGTAATAGAAAAGTCCCCCCTCAAACTTAAGGGAAAATTATATAAGATGATGGTTAGACCAGCAATGCTTTATGGTGCAGAATGTTGGCCATTAAAAGAGAAGCATAATATTAAGTTAAGTGTTGCAGAGATGAGGATGCTCAGGTGGATGAGTGGCTTTACTCTTAGAGATAGGATACGATATAAGCTTATACATAAAAAGGTTGGAGTTGTTTTAATGGAAGATAAGATTAGATAGAGCCGCCTTAGATGGTTTGGTCACATAAAACGATGGCCTTCCAATAACCTGATTAGGAAGTAGATGTACTAGATTTGACTTATGTTAAGAAATGTAGAGGTAGAGCTAAAAAGACTTGGTTAGTTAGAAATGACCATTCTTTATTATATTTAATTGAGAATTTAACTCTTAATAGGACACAATAAAAAAAATGATTCATATAGCTGATCCCACATAGTAGGATAAAGGCTTGATGTTATTGTTGTTGTTGTTGTTGCATGTTAATGTTCATAAGTGCAAAGTCTATTTTATATATACAAAATGCTCACTTACAACCTTACAACCTCATGGCGACAAATTGTTTTAAATAACTGGAAAGGAGTTCTTGTGCTATTATCGTGGGGAACTAGAGATTATAGAAACAAGATTTTTTAACTGTGAATTACGAAAGTAACTCATATGGGTTAAAATCTGTGACCAAGCGAAGTATTAAGAAATATATGGTATGTTAATGATTTTAATCAATTGGATGATATATCAATAGATACAAAAAGAACTTTGTGATGACATACCATTAATATGTTCCTATTGCAGAAGGATATTTTATGTAGAAGCTATGAATAGCAATGTCCATGTGAGCTAACGGTAAATCCTCCCACTGAAGCACAGCAAACCCATCTCCATCGACCAAAATCTCCTTCAATTTCAAGCCATAAGTTGGCCATTTGATGCCTTCCAATGTGCTCAAAGCTATCTTGGGGATTGAAGAAGGTGAAAAATTTTGGAAGTACAGAACCTGCGAAATGCTTGATTATTAAATAGGCCGAGCAGATCAAGATAAAATATTTGTATTAGTATCTTATTTCTGAAGAGGAGTAAAAATGTTGGTCTTTAAGGCCATTCAGCGAAGATCATTTAACTAAGTAGATGTTTAGATCCGTGCAATGCTGCAAAAGACTGATATCTCCTTTCATTTTTTCTTTACGTGGATTTCACTTTAAAGAGCCCATGCATTCATGCTGCTGCAAAACTACAACACTATCCATCCAAATCATCGAAGCTAAGCTGCTATCTAGAATTATCTTTGGAAATGTTTTTGCTTCCGGGACAATGCTATCCTAACTAATGTTTACCAAAAAAGGCAATAGAAGCAGAACTACCATTACTAGTTAAAAGTTGCTTTGTTGCTGAAATAGATATTGGAGATGAATTGCTTCATAGAAACGTAAGTATTTCCCTTTCAAAGAATACTATTCTGACATAAACAAAATTTTCATATAGTAATGATATAAGCAAATGTAAGGATTAATCACTACAACAAAAATTAAGTTGACTGCTTTGTCAAAAGATTAAAACTGAAAAAAAAAAAAAAATACCAGTAGAAGATTCTAACATGCTACTTGACAATGATAACTACTAAAACAAGAGAGGGTTGCAAAAAATTGTAGCAGACCTCTGTGGTTTGAGAGCTTGCCCTTAAACAGCAAGGAACTGTCGATGCAGGCACTATTACAATTGCCACGTCAAAGACATGTCCTGCATTTCTAGCAGTTTTTAAGTTGCTTGCGTGTCCCATTCCAACCTTCAAATCTTCTCTACAACAGGAATGTAGATGAAAAAAGAAAAGATAAATATACAAGAAAACTGCATTTGTCCCATTATACAAATATCTTTCAAGCCTATAAAGGATTGCTGGAGGACTTCTATAAAAGAGATTGGATAGCAAACAAAATAGACTAGATTTAAGAAGTTTACCTTCTAACAGAGCAAACTATTTCAGCACTGCCTCTATGCTTAAGAATATAGTCTTCAAGGCCAGAGGACATGGCTTCAATATTTGATTCAGAAAGTGGGGCAGGAACAAGGGAAGGATCTTCAGTTTTCGGAAGAAATTGTTCATGTATAGAACAGTTATTATCCATATTTTGAACTGAAAGATCAACCACAATGTCCTGAGGAAAAGGAAAAAAATAATTTGAGACAAACAAAAAATTGTAGTCAATAAGCCTCAATTTCACCGTATAGCACTTAGCAGGAATACATTGAGAATAAAGATATGGCGACCAAAAATATTTTGCAGAAGTCTAAGGATGATGATGATATTGATGAGCCTCTCTGTGTTTAAAAAAGCAATTTTCTATCTGGACAAAAGATGCATGGGAGAAATAACCAGATCAGATCATGCAGGTTAAAATAGAGCTTAGAATATGGAACAGAAGCAATTCTAAGCACGTCATATAGGCTATTCTAAACTAATGAATGACTAACTTCTTTAAGATGAAAAAGCCATATAAAATATTTTTATTCATAAATTAGAAACTAGAAATTGATATTGCGTGAACTAAATACATAGTAAATGATCAAAAGGATCCCCACTCTCAACTAAAAAAATTTGAACCAATTTAATCCTCCCATCATCTTTATTGTTGCTTTTCAGGGGCAAAGCCAAGATTTTTTTTTTATGGGAGCACAAATTATCAAATTTAAAAATACTCTTAATTTTTTTTTCATTCGATCTTGAGATTGTATTGGAGATTTTTTTTTTTTAATTATCATTATAAAAAGATAGAATATAAGATAAAATTAAAACTTACAATTAAGAAGGTTCCTTTTTCATATTCTCATAAAATCTATATTGCAAATAATGCTCATTTGATCACTACTGTAAGTTGTTTCTAGAATTTTTCAATTTTCTCATAAACATGAATGATTGTTGACCTTTGTATAAAATCCATTAGAAACGAAGATGGAAATCCAGCATATATACCTCAAACCCGACGGATCCACGAAATTTGCTGAAATCCCGGTTGGAATCCTCGTATCCGTCGAGAAGCCGCCCGAAATCCCGCAAGAAATCCCGCATACGTACCGATTCGGCGCTGCTCCAGTCGATTCTCCGTGTTTCCTGCGCAAATCTTG